TTAAATAATAAAAATAATCATAAGTTATAAAATTAAAACTTATTCATATCATATTTTATCTTATTTACAACTATTAATAAAATAATCTTATAGTAAATAATAAAATTTCTTGAGTTATTATTATTAAAGTTATTATTATTAAAATTATTATTGAAATTATTATTATTATTAAAGTTATTATTATTATTATTATAATTATTATTTCTTCTGTTTCTGTATTTATTGTAATATAACTAATTCTTTCATAATTATTATATCTAATAGAATTATTTCTATGATTAGAATAATTATTAGACTAACTAGAAATTGCTAATTTTTCTAGTTTTGAAGTGATACTTTTAATTTTGTTTTATTAATTTGTTAATTTCAGTATTTATAAGTGATATCAGCAAGAAAGATAAGCTATTATTATATTAATTATTTCTTTTAATATTACAAGATAAGTTGAATTTACAAAAAATTTAATTTTTGATCTGAGCCTATTTATAAAGTAAGATATACATAAGTGATCTGAATAAGTATTGGTCAGATTTACTTTTCTAATTAGTTTTCTAATAGCTATAATATATTATTTTATACTTTTATTAGATAATTATCTTTTTTATTTTAATTATTATTACCATTTATAGAGCTGGTTATGATTTCTGAAATATCTTTTAAATTAATATATAAATAAAACTTCTTTAGCTTGTTAATTAGTATCTTTAGTATATATCTAGCTTTCTGATTATTATGGATAATATAGTCTTTTATTAGTAAATTATATAATAGCTAAATCTTTCAGATAAGCTTTTACTATTTGAATTTTTCTTTTATTACTAATATTATTAGTAATACAAGTATTTTTAAAGTCTTGAAATCAACTAATTAGATCTTGAATATTATTATAAAATTTTATAATTTTAATATAATTAGCTTTCTTTGATTTTTCTAGAGTTATAGTAAGTGTTCTAATTCTATTCATCAAGTTTCAAATTTATAATCAGTAGTTGATGAAGATGATATTTTATTTTTCTTATTTTTCTTTATTTTTTCTTCTTTTTCAAGTAATATTGATGAAACAAATATTAAAGTAACAGATATATTTTGAATAATTAGCTATATTTTTAAATATTTATTAAGTAATAATTATATTAATATTTATTTAAGAATATCTGGATTAGATTTTTCAAACTGTTGTAAGATATCTAGTAATTCTTTATTTAATTTTGATTAACTTGGATTAGATACTTTTATAAGTAGATTTTATTACTTTTTTTATTTTTATTCTATTAAATATTTGCTTTTTTATCCTTGAACTCAAATATCTCTTATTGTAATTGATAAAGATAAGTTTATACTTATTCTGTTAATAGATCAGTTTTATTTTTAATTAAGATTACAAATTCTTTTCTTATCTTGATCTGAATTTTACTTTTTGATAAAAATAGTAAAATTTTTTTCAGATTATTTATTAATCAAAGTTAGTATAAACTTCAAGATGTAATTTAGTAAATAATTAAGTAAAAAATCTTTTTCTTTCTATTTTGATTTTTTAGTTGAATCTATTTTAATATATTATAATATTATTTTTTCAATTATCTTAATCTTCTACTAATTTTTCAAATTAATTTATAGAGAATTCTTTATCTCAATCTAAATTAAATTGATAATTATTTTGAAATTATTTTTTATAGAGAGAGTATTAAAAGTTATTATCTTTTTTATATGAATAGTTATAAGTATTAATTCTAATATATCAAAAGCATATAATAAAAGTAATTATATACTTTACAATAATATTAAAAGAGTTTTTAAAAATATATTAATAAGAATATAAATATTATTATATTAAGATTTGTTAAGATTTATCTAAAGATAGATAATAATAATATTTTTAGTATAATTAACTAGAATATAATTTAATTTCAAAGTATAATTTCAAGATAAATATAATAATCAGTTTATTAATAAGATGAAATAATAGATCTTAATCAAGATCTATTTTACAAGAGATATTTCTTAGAATTCTCTTTAACTATAATCTATTTAAATATAAATTAAGAATTAAACTTATAGAACTTAAACTAAACTAATCTACTAATTAATAAATTATTAATTAACTAAACTAACTATTTATTTTTATTAGCTAAGATATATTATTTTTATATATTTTAGAGATTATATAAATGATACTTTTATTATGATACTTATATTAGTTTTGCTATAATCTAAATATTACTTTAGTTAGTATCATAATATTGATTTTATTATAATAATATTATTAGTTTTGCTATGATAGTTTTACTAACTTTACTATGATAATTTTGTTATAATCATTATATTTACAAAATCTTCTAAAAATATCTATAAATAATATTCTTTAAAACTAATATTCAATAAGATATAAGTAATTATTCATTTAATCATATTGTGATATGAAATGATCAATAATATAAAGTTAACTAATATTTTATTAAAAGTTTATATTATAATAATAGTTATTTTTTTGAATTTTTTTTTTAGTTATTAATTAATTATAATTAAAAAAATTTTTTATAGTTATATTATTTTTTAATCATTTAATTTTATTTTTTCAAGTATAATAACTATAAAAAGATCTAACTATATTAATTATTATTTATACAAGAATAAAAACTTTGAAAATTTATAAATTTTTATTTAATATAAATTATATATATTATATTTTATATTTTATAATTTTATTGATTTATCTCTTAAAAAATCTAATGATTAGTCAAGCTATAACATAAATCATGTGATTTTAAGGGTTAACCAATCAAATTGAGCCGGAGTTGAGATTATAATAAATTTCATATTATTTGATTGGTTACTCTTTAAATCACGTGACTTATGTCACAGTCGAACTTTAGGAATATCAATATTAAATTTTCAAATCTCCTTAAGTTTAAAACCAAACCAATTCAAATTAGATAATATACTTTTGTCTTACCGTAAATTTGGAGTTTGTATGTAATGTAATGTTTGTCTTAAAATGTACGATTCTAATGATATGTACGTTTAATTATCGTTTCCTTAAAACACAATAGCACCAATAAGAGAGTCTGTCAGATGTAATTGTAAATCCCGAAATTACGCCTAACGGGAAAACCCCAAATTCACAACATTTTTATTGCTAATTGTATGGGGTCATTTGGTCAAAACGATCAAACTCTCCGTATTTAAATTAGAGAATTTTGGAAGAACCAGAAAATGTACAAAGAGCATATCACTATCTTTTATAGAGATGCTGATATTATTATGCATAGGAAGGAATTCTTCGAAACTGGGAATCTACTCATTCAGGAAATGTCACCGAATACAAGCATAGGATACTAGTAAATATTTTCATTTAATCATATGCTTTATGTAGAGCATTCATTCCTCGTAATTTAACAAGCGAATTTCTTTTCTGGCTTTTCAATAAATTGCACTTCGCGAACGTCATTGTTAAATTGTTCTCCAACGATAAATCATCAATCAAAACGATTAATAAATATATATTGTAATGATTAGAATCTTTTCTTGGCAATGATAGGCAGAACATTTTGCTTATCATCATAGGCATCATGCAGGAAGTCATTTCGCCTGAGTAACATCTAATTGAGTACGTCACCTTAAACTAAGTCATATAAAATGATGGATCTGGAAATTGTAATTTAATTTCTTTGGCGAACATGACAACTCAAGACGGACAAATTCAGCAACTACTCGAAAGGAAAGAACCAGACAATCTAGATGCAAGATTTCAGTTTATCATAGATAGGTCGGTTAATTGTAAATCTTTGTGAAAGTGGATTTTCTTGTTTCTCTAATTAATACGTGCAGTATATCGAAAAAATTATGCTAGGACCCTTCTATTTGTCTCTCTTTACAAAGATTATTATGCAAAGAATCCATTAATTTCGGTAAAAAGTTGATTCCGATAGAAATAAATCCATTATCGTTATTTAATTTTCCAACCAAATAATCTGAATTACGCCATATTATTTTCATCGGTCCAGATCTTTTTAACCATATTTCTTGCACTATCATCAATCCCACTCATAACATTCTCAATATTTACGTTATGCATGACGACATTAACGTTTGGCATCGCGTATACTATCGCGTTGTTTGTTTGCGTCGTTAGTTTTCTCATAGCCGGTGAGTATTTTGGAAATTAATGCTCGGTTGATTCATGAGAAAAAAAATTGATGATGAATCTTTCGTAGGTTCAATACTTTTGGGCACGTTAATGGTGACATTTATGTTAACTTGTATTGTATTCTTCTGGATTGTGATAGTTTCTGTGACATTTAGTTTCTTCTCTCGTTACATTAACAATGAGCAAGAAGAAAAAGTTGACGAAAAACTTTTATCATTGATTTTTTCTTGAATAATTCCACAGTCTATACAATAACAGTCGCACGCTCAATATAGTCACCTCCCTATGTAGTCACATCTTTTATTAAAACCTCTTTATAATCACTACCTTTGCAGCTGTAAATAAATAAATAAATAAAATATTATACGTGTTACATATTCCTGTTTATTACCACTTCGTGTAAATTTAGCTATCGAAAACGTGGGATTCGCAAAATGAGGTTACAATTTTTTAATTTCTAAACGTTACATTCAGTTATTGGCTTTATTGTCATATAAATAAGCTAGGTTTTTTTTCCTTTGATAAAAATCAATACTGTTATTAACAATTTTGAAAATATGACTTCCTCACCACCACATATTCCAGTCGACATTATTCAACATATTCTCGCGAATCTTAGCATTAAAGAAATCTATATACTACGACGGGTCAATCGAGAATGGTACTCGATTTTCGAACATGCATTAATGGAACACATGATCACGCATAATTCACAAATATTAGTTCGCGTTGGACCAAAACCGACAGCTTCGCTTTCATTGGCGCTCGATTGTGTAGAGTATTGTCCCAAGACCGGTGTTTACACATTTAGGCCTGTTATTGAGGATGGAGAAGACGGGAAGGGAAAAGAATCTCGACTTATCTGTGATCGTCATAATTTGAGACAAGTAAAGATTCTATTTGGAGAGTGGATTGGTGTCGCTAAATCTTTACATAAAAATAATATTAGTAATAACAATAACAATGATATTGAAGATCCGATAATAACCGAATTAAACGCACGTAATCTTGGACCTTTAGGAGCAGATTCACCCGCAGCTCAGGCGCTTACTCTCTATGCAAATATCAAGTTTCATAGTGATTATATTGAAGCTGTATCAAAAGAGTATCATGTGGAAGGAGGTTGTGCATCGCTCATTTCATCAACATCTTATATAGGTGATAATGATCTGATATGCAAAATCAATTTAGAATCTCTTAAAGATGACGAGTCAAATAATCTAGTGTCATTTGATGTTGATTATGTTAAAGTACGATCGTCATGGATTTTCTCTGGTCTCTCCACTCATTCCCCAATGCCATCTTATAAGATATATGAATCACGATATTTACTTCTTGACCAACTATTAGGACAAGAACACGGCTACAATCGATACTCGTCACGCGTATTAGAATGGATTACATCGGACGCCGATGTCGATGATGAACTGACGCATAAATTAATTGAACATCTAAGAGCGACTGATGGCGATTTTAATACTGGTGCCTTACTTGCACGTGCTTTAGAGGAAAAAGGTGTCTCTCAAAATCATATGTGGAAGTTTGGCTTTGTTAAAAGATATTTGTCGAATCCAGAGAGTTCATCGGAGACTTTCGATCAAATTGTAGAGAAAGTTGTTCTTACCGAAAAGAGCAACAACAACAACAGCTTTAAGGGTAAAAATAGTGTAAATAGTGAATCTAGATTTTTTAGATGGAATTTTGGGAGATTTCCTTAGGATAATTATTTTAATATTAGAAAGAATAAATAAAAGCAATTTGTAATTCTATTCTTAGCAATCATTAATTATACAACTCTTCATCAATTTTATTTATTATGTGGACGATGAAGAGGAAGGAGGAGATGAAGAAGCAGCAACAGCAGCTACAACAGCAAGTTTTTCATCATTCTTAATTAAATTTGGTATATTTTTACGATAGCTAATTAAGAGAGCAGAATTTTTCATGAGTATTTAATCAAAAAAAAAAAACCGCCAAAAATTTAATCCTTACTCCCATATCCTGTATAACTGCACGATACCGGTACCAGCGACAAAAGCGTTCACCGCTAAAAGTGGATAGTTCACAGGGATGATCTGTGTTGACCATCTGGCCCAGATTAATCCTGTTGCTGTTAGAGCTTTTGAATGAGGAGAACCGAACATAATTAATTAATCAATTGAGGTAATTTAGAGATAAATCTTATTAACATTGATGAGATCGAGACTTACCAACTTGTTGTGGCACTGATAATTTTTCTGCTGGACGTTTCAAGTCACCTAACCCCGCTATCACTAATCCCTATACTCATCATCATCAACATTTTTGCATACAGGCTCAATTCCAATTTTCATTTTTTAAATATTTAGAATAATTACCCATTTCATTAAAGGAGCCCAAAAATGTATAGTTTTCGGTCCTTTAATTGTTGACCAAACAAAACATTTTAATGTGTGAGACCAGCGAATAATGTCTACATGAAAATGCCGAAAAGGTACGAAGAAATGAAAAAGATGAAAATTTTTAGCCAATTTACCGGCCGGATGGTTCCAAAAACCTTGAAGACGTGTAGAAACTGTAGTAGTTGCTGCTGCTGACATTTTAATATTCGCCGTAGGTTAAGGAAGTATAAAAGACCAAGTTTTGGGTGCTAAAAGAACTGTGAATGAATGAAATGAAAGTAGAAAATCTGGGGCAAGTTTATATATGACATTTTTTAGCCAATGAGACGGAGATAATAAAAATTCATTATTCAATAAATAAATTGAAGATCGTTCCGTTCACTTTTAAATACCTTAAATTTCATAAAAATGACAAAGAAGAAAAAGTCAAATACAACAAGATCTGCGTCTTCCACAGCTAACAATAATGCAATGACCGCCACAAAAGACACCACCACCGATAATAACACATCCTCGCCTGTAGCCAAAACTGAGAATCATCACCATAATGCAGAAACAAAACCAAATCAATCTACGTTCACTAAAAAATCCTCGACTTCACGAGCACAGTCAAGCGGTAACGTGGCACCCTCCACAGACGCAGGCACCACTTCACAAAGTGGTGGTGGTGGCGTAGACGAAGAACAACAGTCTGAAGAACAGCAAAAAGGATTCAAAGGGAAAGCAAAAAAAGATATGCAAGACGTGGAAGGATATCATGCCGAGAAGGCTGAAAGTATTGATGAAACGAAATTAGATCAGGTCATTTTCTTGAAAAATGAATTCTTTATTTATTGGTAATTATTATCGAATTGATCGATTCTCAAATTTTTTCAGGCATTGACATTTGTGAAAGAAGAAAGTCAGAAACAAAAAGCGCAAAAACTACAAAAGTAAGATTTTGATTTAAAAAAAAAAAGTAATCAGTTCAGTTGAATAACTTTCCCAACATCAATAACAATCATAACAATTAGGCAACAAGAACTTGAAAAGGTCTCAGTCTCAAAAGAGGATATCGAGTTAATTGTAAGTTTTATTTGCTCTTGTATTTCTTTTTGATATTTTTATATTTATATATATTTTTTTGATAAATAGATTTCTGAAATGCAAGTGACACAACAAGTTGCCGATCGAATTCTACGCGAAAATCAGGGTGATGTTGTGGCAGCGTTGAAAGCAATTATTCTTGCCTAAATCACTATTACCCATACATAGTTTATTTAAAAAAATATCGATATACAAATATATATGTACTATGATTTATATCGATGTGGTAAGTTACGTGAACATCAATTAAAATGACGTAACGCGCCGACAAATAAAAAATGTCACAGAAGATGAAATCTCGGCAACAAAATGAAATATAAGGGGATTCTTTTCGTACAATTGATATTTAACGCCACCGTAATTCTGTAGTTAAATATATTATTATTATTATTATTATTATTATTATTATTATTAAGAAGGTAATAAATACAACATTATTTTTAATAATAACCACTTGTAACTATAAAACAACCATGTCTATTGCTACCACAGCAACATCAACAAATACAAATACAACTGTTGTTGACCACCCGCTCGCCGAAAATGTAAGACCACTTTCGCCCACGCGAAGTCTTTTGGTTAGTTATATTATTGATTTGTACTCGTGTAAACCAACCAAAAAAAAATTTAGTTTCTATACTGAGGACGCATTGTAAGTGTGATATAATCTTTTGGTATCGACATTATACTCTTCTACTATATTAACATATATATATATATACATATATATATATCCATGCGTGTTCACGTATAGATTTGAGGATCCATTCATGATTGCACCTGGACTAGCAAACATCAAAGCCCAATTTTACGGAATAACCAAAATATTCTCAGAATCCACCCCTAAGAATTACAAAATTGTGAAAAATGATGAAAACATAATTGAAATCGATCTCACTCAACGATACCTTGTTGCATTAATCAAAAAGGAAATTATACATAATAGTTTTATCCGATTGGAATTGGATGCCGATGAAAAGATCGTAAAACATACGGATTTATGGGACGAGAAACCTTTGTATCACGAGGGAACCATTGGTGGAATTTCTTCGGTAGGATTGTTTTATTTATTTTGACTATATTTATTATTTATTTTTCAATCCTAATACTATTATTTTTTCTGATCTAGTTCTTTCGTAGAACAAATGCTAAAATTGTATCAAAGTTGGTGCGTATTCCGGAAACTACAATTGAAATAAACTAATCGATGTGCTCTATCTAATAACAAATTATTTTCACTTGATGATTTTTGTAAACATAACAAACTAATTAATTATTAAATAAATCATAATAATAATAATAATAATTATGATAATATCTCAAACTGATTGTTGAAGGAAATGTTGTTGATTTAGAATTTTTAGAATTTTCGAAATTATTTGGATTGTTGTTGATTAATTTAGAAATATTTATAAGAAATATTTCAACGAAATCGCTAATTTCCTCCTTACTGTTTGAAATATTATTCGTCGAAATTTCTAGAATAATAATAAAAAGAGATGGATGGCACAAAATTATTGCGTCTCTTGAATGATGGTTTCGATAGAATTTACGCGAACTTTCCAAAGTCCTGCAAATGTCGTATGACGGGAATTCAGGTTGCAAAGATCTTTGTATATAAGATTATGAATATGGTAGTTAGACCCATAAAGTTTAATTTTAATAGATCGAATTATAGAATTTTTGCTTTTTTTCTGCATTTGTTCCGATTGCTGTTGCTGTTGTCGTCGTTTGTTGTTGTGGTGGTCGTTTGTTGTTGTTGTTGTTGTGTTATGGTTGTTATGTTCTCTGTTGTTGCAGTCGTGATTGTGATTGCGATAACTGATATTTATAATAACTTCTTAATTCGACTACAATTTGAACTTGCTACGATTGCTGCTGATATCGTTGTTGTTGCGATTGCTGTGTTACGATTGTTGTTTACGATTTGCTGTTGCCATCATTGTCGTTGCTGCTATTGTGATTGTTGGCATTTAAAATTGAAAGCTAAAGTAAAATTTTTGTTAAATATTATAATATGTATCTTTTTAATGCACGCGTGCAATCAGAATCTTTTTAATTATCATTTCCGAGCAAAATTACGCGGTGAAGGTAATAGACGATAGTAGTATAAATTCGAATAGCAGAAATTCGTGACTCATGAATGAAAGCAACGAAGTAAATTTTAGTGGATTTTATGGTCTTCTATATCGGGAATTCTTGTTTTTTATATGTAAAGCGTGGGAAAAAAATTTTCATATAAAAATCGTGGGAAAAAAATTTTTCCTTTATAATGGTCTTTGCACCTTAAGTTGTCCAATCATTTGTCTAAAAATATAACTCATGAGCTTTAAAATTTAAGAATAATTACTAGAAAAAACATGAATATCTATATAACTTGAAACTTTCCATTTTTTATATGTTTTACTATATAATCTGAACCGGGCGATAATATTGTTATCCGAAGCGATCTTTCGAGGTTGTTACAAATTAAACTTAACCAAATTAAAATCAATGTTTGCCAACAAAGCTGTTTTTTATTGATACATATACAAGTAAAACTAGTTTGATTGTCCTCGATGAAAGGGTGTTGGTTGTTTTCTTGTCATTGATCTTGTTATTCGTCTAGTTGAATATGGTTCACCTCGACTTGTTGAGTTTTTAATTGAAGACTTGACTGTTGAAGGGGAAGAAGGAGCATTTGAAGCAGGTGAGAAAGGACTCTTATTGGGTAATGGTGTCGTCATTTGAGCGCGTGCGCTTGTATGTACAGGAGTTGTGAATACATTCTCATTGGCCAGAGTTGTTAATGGGGATAGGACACCTGGTGGTGAAATTGTTCGATTATTCTGTTTCCTCTCTTTTTTTAATTCCCGGTGATTATCCACTGTTCATTCAAGTGCATAAAAAAGGTGAACTTAGCAAACATAAATGCCTATAATTGACCGATAAGTTGAATCCTAACCTTTTATAATATCTTCTGAATCAGAATCCTGTGACAATAATAATTGTTTTTCTATAGGTGATAAATTTTTCCGTATATTCTCAATGATCTTGCCTCTCTTAAGGAAAGATGATGCTTTTGCACGTGCACTTTTCAATTGACTTTTCACTCGATCATACAATCTAATGGCTTCAATTTTACGATCATGATGAACAGCGTACATCACATAGAATTCCAAGCAAACTGGATTATCGCTCTTTAAACAATAATCTTCCAAGACAGACTCTTCCTCTTTATTTAATGGAAAAGATAATAACTTATTTAATTTGTCAGCACGTGGTACTATAAGTTATTGATGGTATAAATTAATTAGTAAATACTCTCAAGATTAATAGTCTCGATGTGAGATTTACCTTCGTTAAAGCAATAGTCTAATAACTTTCGAAATAATGAGCCCTTATCAAATTCTTCAGGTAGGTTTCGCTATAAAATACCACGAGTAAAGATTAGAATTTTGTCCCAACTCTATTGCTCGACATCTAATCATTTACCAAGTAAAATAATGTCTCTATTAAATCGCATCGCATTAATAAATCAAGTAAAAGTTCCGCATCCTCTTTCTTTGACGATAAATCCGGCTTTGTGATATCAACATACATCATTGCTTCACGAGGTCCTGAATGGTTGAACAGAGTTTGAATGACTTTACGATTATAATCGACTTTTTTAACCTCTGGTTCACCTAGAAAACGAATCGCTTCCTGGCATATAATCGAAGAAAAAAGTCAGATTATGAATCATCTACGCATCGACCATTAAGATAACCTTCGCCGATAAGAAATACCTCAAAATTCCATTGATCCAACGACCAAAAACCATCCATTAATGAAATCCACCCATAAGGGATCAGATATCTAACAACATATTTTTGATGAGGACTCCCATTCCAATCCCTTAGTATGTAATACATCTATTGATTATTAGAGAATAAAATTAGCTTATGGTCATCCTCTCTTCTACTCATCTAACTAAAGTCAAAAGATTACCAAACAATGAGCCTGCAATTCATTTATATTTTTACTACTATATATAGCGTCGGATAATTCCTTTAAAGCTGGTCTTTCCGCTGGAGGATATAAAGTTGCTAAAGTATCCGAAGAATGTATGTTCATGTCAATTGATGTCCAGACAGAGACAACATACAACGCAAGCTACTACTACACATAACGTACGATCAACTCCGGCAAATTTTAATAGCAAGTGAATGAATAGCTCGCCTTCCATTTCCTTCTGTCGATATCTTATCGAATTGATGACGGGTTGAGTATACGGCCAAGGTTGTTTACTCTCATCGATCAGGTCCCAAAATCGACCAGCCTATAGAACAATACTTTCATCATTAAAAAAAAAATGGCGCAAACAGACAAAAAACTTGGAATCTAACCTTGCTTTCAGTAGACTGGGAGCGATCTTTTCCACTCCATGTGAAATCATCCTGTTTTGGTGATAATAAACGGTGATTGTTTACTACGTTTGCCATTTAGTTTGTAGCTGTAAAAAAAGTTTCGCGTATGTATTGAACAAACAAATTGCTTATTTTTGATCAGTATTCTGGATTTTGACCGGTATTCTGGTAAATGGTAAATGAAATTTCGTGTAACACGTGATGATAATTTTTAAAAATTTGACGATAAAATTTCATCATCCATCGGAATCATCTATTCAATCAAAACCATGTCTCAGCCGTTCAAACCAACTCCCGCTTCACAAATGGTTGTGGAGGATACCGGTATTTACCAGCTTTTTCTTTTCTTCTCTTTGCTTGCTTATTCTCTCTTTTTATTTCGTTGCATTTATGATATGTTGTTATGCAGCTAAAATCGCGGATAAGTCATGGGAGATAATTCAAGAGAAAACCTTTAGAAAATGGTGCGAAGCATAATAAATACTTATCTATTTTCGATCTTGTTAGATCTGCTATGATAGTAAAGATAATTGAGATGAGATTTTTGTATAATCTGATTTTCGAAGGATAACAAATAAAAGATAAAATCAAAGTATCCTTGATCCCTTGATGAACTTTAATAAGATATGAAGTAATTGGCGAAAAATAAATTGCGCATAGTTTTTGAGGTGAATTTAAGAAATTAACGTTATAAAACAATCGAATTTCTTAGGGTGAACAGTAAACTAGCACTGAAGAATATAGAGCCCATAAGAGATTTGAATGAGGATTTTTCCGATGGTGTTCGACTTATACAATTGCTGGTGAACCTCTATGACGATTCCGTTTTCTTTCGTTGCTCCTCGATCTTGCTTGTCTTAATCTCAATTTACGATATGTAAAAATAATAGGAAATCATTGGCGATACTTCTTTTGGAAAATATAATAAAAAGCCAAGAATGCGTATTCAGAAAGTGGAGAACGTGAATATGGCGTTGGAATTTATAAAGCGTCGAGGTGTATCACTAACGAATATCGGGGCTGAAGGTAAGCTTGTTCATTATATTTCTGTTTTTTTTTTTTAATATCTAATAATTCGCGTTAACAGACCTTTGACTAAAAATTCAAGATATTGTTGACATAAACCTAAAACTTATTCTTGGTATGATATGGACTATTATTTTGAGATTTACCATTGCTGATATAAGGTAAATTATGGTAACATAATTATAATCTCTAATTCGCCCAGATTTAATAATTTTTGATGCATATGGATTGTGTTAATGTAGTGAAGAGGGTCTTACAGCTAAAGAAGGTCTTTTGCTATGGTGTCAGCGAAAAACCGCGCCTTATTCTGAAGTAAATGTAGTCGATTTCACTTATAGGTAAATTATGGACCGATGAGTTTTTTTAGTTGAAGAAAAAAGAATTGTAGCATCGACTAACAGCGTTTTCTTAATTAGTTGGTCTGATGGACTGGCGTTGTAAGTGCGTGAATGCTTTACAAAATGAGGAGGCACATAAATTCATTGGAGTTCTTTTTTTCTCTAAAGTTGTGCATTAATTCATCGTCATCGTCCTGATTTACTTGATTATCATGCGTTGGATAAGGTGTGAATGATTTTATCTCATTAACATAAAAAAATAATAATTATCAGTTATTGACACGCGTTTTTATCGATAGACAGATCGACATCGAAATACAGCTTTGGCATTTGATGTAGCTCAAAAATATTTGGATATTCCCGTAAGAACTTGACGATATTTGACTTTGAATCTTATTACTATATGATAGATGATTGCCATGATTAAAAATTTCTAAATAAAAAAACCTTAGAAACTTTTGGATGTTGAAGATGTTTGTGATGTTTCCAAACCAGATGAACGATCAATTATGACATATGTAGCGCAATATTTTCATGCATTTTCCGAATTAGGTGAGTTATTTAGCTGATTTCTGAATTAAATAATACTCGTTCACTTATATCGTTCTTGTTATTATCGTATAAATAGATAAAGTAGAAACTGCTGGTAGAAGAGTGGCTAAATTTGCTGAGGTGATGCAATCAGTATGGGACATGAAACATGATTATGAAAGACAAGTCAAACAGGTAGTAGATATTAATATCATGATTCAATATTCCTAAATAAATTGCTAACAAATATGATAAATTTTTAGTTAATGCAAAATGTAAGAGATAAAAAAGCAATATGGAGTAATGCACGCTTTGATGGAACATATGCTGATGCGAAAAGACAATACGCAGAATTTATAAAATACAAAAGCAGTGAAAAACGATCTTGGGTGGCTGCTAAACGTGATTTGGATGCTTTACTAGGGAATGTACAAACCAAACTTAAAACTTATGGATTACAGCCATATCAGCCACCTGCGGGTCTAACATTGGCAGACTTGGATAAAGTGTGGCAAGAATTGTTGGATGCTGAAGGACGAAGATATAAATCAATTAATGATAAAATCAAAGAGTGCGTTTGTTATATCGAAAAATCGAGTCATCTCTGCTCCGATCATTATTATCTTGTAATAAATAATATATCGAATTTTAATCATTCCCTAGTATAAAAGAGAATCTAAGAAAATCTTTTGCCAACTCTGCAAACAATTTCATTAAAAGTTTGGACTCGATATCTTACGGACTTGCAAATTTAGATGGAGAACTAGATGTAAGTGAGATTTATTAATTACATTTTAAACGAAAATAAAAATAATTGATTTACCTTCAATATAATAAATAGGCACAATTACAAACAGTAAAGAGTCTATCAGCAAAATTAAAACCGCTAGAACAATCACTGAAACATATCCAAGAATTAGACGCGCAATGTCGAGAAGCAAATATTGAAGAAAATGATTACACAGTATTCTCGGTCGATGATTTACATTTTGAGTTGGGATTAGTGCAACAAGCTGTCACCAAGAAAACCTCATTTATTGAGAATCAAGTAATAACGAGATTTCTTTTTTTTTTCTTGTTCACTTGAAAATAAATTCTCATATTAATCATGACCTTGGATAGATTGTTTCAAGAAATATGACAAATTTGACTCCCGGACAACTTGAAGAATTTGAAAGTACTTTTCGGCATTTCGACAAAGATTCCTCGAATACTCTTAATTTGTTTGAATTCAGTGCCGCATTAGCTAGCTTGGGCATTTTTTATCGAGTGCGTATATTATTTTTTTCTGATTTGCAAATTAAGTATATATTAAAATAGCATTGTTCACGTGATAATAGGACGAAGAATTAGAAGCTGCATTTAAACAATTATCACAAGGCAGTGAAGAGGCATCATTTGAACAGGTATTTCAATGTTTATTCTCAATACATAATTAAATATAGAACATTAATTATTTTTTAAATAAAATAGTTTATCCTATACATGGTAAACGTGACCGAAGACAAGACAACGCCGGAACAACTACGGCAATCATTCAAAGCGGTAGCCGGTGATAAACCATACGTCACAGAACTTGATCTAAAAAGATCGATGGTACCTGCTAATGTAGTCAGTTATTTAAAAGAATGGATGCCATCAAAGGACGATGGATATGACTATTCAAAATATCTGGATCACGTTTTTAAGCGTTAGGATGTTTGCATTTATATTTTTATAAATTAAATAATCTTTAAGTTGATAAATATCTTAAATATCTCAAATAAAATTTCAATTTGGCAAAATAGTTTCAATTTCTGAATTATAACTTAATTTCTTTAATGATAATTTATCGCTTAATTAATTTCGGGCGGGGTAATGTTGGCCGAAGCCAACATATTTGAAAGCACAAAATTGTGTTATACTTACCAACTTACCAATCCACAATTCCATTAAACACTGCCCTGTAGTAATTTTTTTTATCCCCCTGCGATAAAAGATTTCTTGTTACAGAAAGACTTATGATACTCCAAAGCCGAAGCTAAAGCCGAAGCTAAAGCCGAAGGCAATAAATCTTTCATAGAAAAATTTTTCACAGACGGCACTCCCAAAATACTCTTCCGAAGAGGAGTGAGGCATTCCCGAAGGAGCACATTTCTTAGAGAGCGAAGAAGACAGGACAGTGTCATATACAAAAAGAATTCAAATTCTCTTTGTGATAGAGATACCTTATTACCCAACCCCCCCCCCATATATTTGAGAAACGCGCCATTTAAAAAATTTGTTTTGGATAAGCAATATAAATAAGCGCCATAACTATCGTATAACGCGCGTAATAGTATGGTGCGGGGACCTGTGAATCACATTTATTATAAAGTCACATGACCAAATAACTTAAGCCACAAAATTTTGCATGCAATCAAAGCAAGCACATGAATTTTATTCTATATTTATATATTGCATCCAATGATTATCACAAGTCGAAAATCTTTTATATGCTGATAAAACGCGATGTAACAACGTCAATTACATTCTCATCGATATTTACGAAAACCATGGCTCCCCTTGACGTCGGAGAAATCGTTGCTCAAGAAGACGGCAAACCTAAAAAAAAGCCTATAAGTTGGCAAAATCTTGGTGTAGGTGCCGGTAAGAGCTTCTTATTTCACAGAGAGAATATAATTAGCTATTTGCTATTTAGTGCCATTTGTGGCGTTACTTTTCGTCATAATTATTATCATTTTCCTTAAAAGAGATAGTTAAAATGTAACTGTTAGTTCTAATTTTATAGTTTTAAATTCAATAGAAGTCACTTTACTTACTACTTTCTTCATCCACTTTCATTTCTTGAATGACGCGCGTTATGTTAAATTTTTTCTTGTGAACATTAAATATTTAGCATTGAACATGTTTGAAGTCTCCACGCTTGGACAGCCTTTTGAGGTCACAAAAACTCATCTTGCTGCAAATAGGAATGACGGGATATTGACCGCGGTAAAGAAAACTTATAAACGTGGAGGCATATTTGGCTTTTATCAGGGGTTAATTCCGTGGGCGTGGATAGAAGCTAGTACGAAAGTATGCGTGTTATCTCGCTCAATCATAAAGAATTCGATATTTTTTTGAATTGATTTATTGATTCATTTTTTATGAATTATCAGGGTGCAGTGCTGATTTTTACTGCGAGCGAAATTGAATATTATGCGCGTGTAGCCGGTGCATCCCCTTTCTTGGTTGTGTAAAATACCAAAATTTCTTTTTCTCCAGTTTTTACAATTGTCACATAATATAAATCAAAAGATTCTGATATATGCGTTTTCCAAAATATCAATATTGATTTTATATTTCCATCTAGTAGTGCGGTATTCTCGGTGGTATGGGCGGTGGATTAGCACAAGCGTACACTACAATGGGTTTTTGTACATTCATGAAAACAGTAGAAGTAACGCGGCACAAAGCTCCCGCTGGTCAACACGTATCGACAATCAAGATAGCCAGTGATATACTTAAAAAGGAAGGTATTCGTGGTATAAATAAGGGAGTAAACGCAGTTGCCCTGAGACAATGTACGAATTGGGCTAGTCGCTTTGGATTAACGAGACTTAGTGAGACGCTGATTAGGCGAATGCGAGATGGTGAAGTTCAGGATTTTTCAAAACCTTTGTCGCCATTGCAAAAGATTTTTTCGAGTGCTATCGGTGGTGCATTGTCTTGTTGGAATCAGGTATTTTTTTTTATTATCATGGTTATTATCTCAAGTACATGGATGTTGAATTTAATCATTTACGTGAAAAATAGCCAATTGAAGTTATACGTGTAGAAATGCAATCACAAGTGAAAACTCCTGGTCGACCCGAGAACATGACGATTGTTACTTGCGCCAAATACATTTATCAACATAATGGAATAAAAGGATTTTACCGTGGGGTAACGCCTAGAATTGGGTTAGGCATATGGCAGACCGTTTGTATGGTTTTTGGAGGCGATGTCGTGAAGGTATTAATTAATTCCACGTATTCACTTCTCTTGTATAATTATTATATTAAATTCTTTTTCAAAAATTCATAGGCCAAACTCGCAGAAATGCAAAAAAAAGCAATACTTTGAATTTTAAGATTCTAGCATAGCAATTTATTCTTTTCTAATTTAATTTAATTTATTATTTGAAGTAGAGGACGACATGTGGTCACCCGAAAAAATAGTAGCATTTTAATTTTATGCCTATTTAAATATAATAATGCCAGTTATTTCGGTGCATTTGTTTCTTAACATGGATGTTTATTATTAATAGTTGCATTATAATAAAGTTAAAATGCATGATATTATTTCACCCACAATGGGGGAACACTAAAGCAGGGTAGTGGATTAAGATCAATCCAGATCAAGTCAATCCAAAGCAAAAATAAATTGGATT